TTTACCTCCTAGGGAGAACTCAAAGACAATAACCTCAGTCAAGCACCACTGGAAAATGAAAATATGACTTGTACCTCTAACTAATGCGGATGCAATTTTCCTTTAAGCAAGGTGAATTAATAATTAGCTAGGGTGCTTTGCCTTTCTCTTGGAATTCCTCTGTTTGCAATTGATTAGGAAAGGTAAGAAAAACAAGAAAACTTAGTTTCAATTCTTAATTTTAGGTGCACAACATCTAAAGTAATTCAGCCTAAGAGGGTGTAATGGGAGATAAACAGAAATAAACTTTTGAGAAGGACCCTTTTGGGGCATGATTTCATCCCCAGGCAGTTCAGCCATACTGGTCAGTTTCTCAATTACTCTGCTAACCACAAGGAATTGATGATTATCAATTCCTAAGTTAATGGCTAACTGAAATTTTCTGCTTGGTTTCAAGTTACCCCAAAGATGGCCATTCTCTGGCTAAGGTCCCTTTCACATATAAATATATTTATATATATGTCCCCCCCCCCCCATGCTACTCACCTTACACTACACATGATAGAGAGCTTTCCATGTGAGACATATAGGTTTTAGTATGGATTTTTTAAAAGGTTATTTTAATTTACATGCTTTTCAAATTTTTTTTTTTAACTTTGCTGCCTCTATATTAAAACATTTAATTTTTTTTTTTTTTTTGGTGGCTGGCCAGTGTGGGGATCCAAACCCTTGACCTTGGTGTGATCATTACCACGCTCTAATGTGGTCATTACCATACTCTAACCAGGTGAGCTAACTGGCCAGCCCTTAAAATTTTTAACAATGATTAAAGAGGTAAAATGATTTAGTATGTGATTTGTATATTTGCTGCCTCTTAGTTGTGTGACATTTTAAATAACATTATAATTAATTTTTAAAAAATGTCTATTTCTGGGCTGGCCCTGTGGCTCACTAGGGACCATATATATGTGGTCTTCATCTTGTCTCCTGGCATACAACTCCTAAAATCCTTTAAATCTCCAAGTGATGAGTGTCTTTTTGCATACTGACTTGACTGATGGCTGGCAGCCCCTAGGTAGCTTCAAGTGGGGGCTGACCACTGGAAAGATGAAGGCAGGATTAGAGGGTTGGAACTATCAGCCCCACTCTCAACCTCTGGGGTGGGGGGATGGGCTGAAGGTTAAGTTGTTCACCAATGGCTGGTGAGTTAATCAATCATGTCTATATACTGAAGCCTCGATAAAAACCCAAAAGGACTGGGCTTGGGGAGCTTTCACATAGCTGAACATGTGGAGGTTCCTGAAGAGTGGTGCCCCTGGGGCAAGCATGGAAGTGCTGCACCCCTTTCTCTATACCTTGCCCTGTGCATCTCTTCACCTGTATCCTTTGTAATATTCTTTATAATAAACTGGTAAGCATAAGTAAGTGTTTCCCTGAGTTCTGTGAGCCACTCTAGCATATTAATCGAACCCAAAGATGGGGTCATGGGAACACCAATTCAAAACCAGTCATTTAGAAGTTCTGAAGGCCTGGACTTGAACTGGTATCTGAAGCGGGGGCAGTTTTGTGGGGCTGGGCCTTCAACCTCTGGGATCCAACGCTGTCTCCAGGTAGATAGTGTCAGACTTGAATTGAATTAGAGGACACTCAGTTGGTGTCCACTGCAGAATTGCTTGCTTGCTGGTAGGGAAAACCTCCCACACAGTTGTTCACAAGTCTTCTGTGTTGATTGTTCCTGAGTGAGAGTATAAGAAAAACACTTTGGCTTGTTTATTCCTATATTCTCAGTATGCTTTATATCCCACAGATTATTGAGACTTTATTCTTTCTCAGTTTTTTTTTTCTCTTTGCTTCATTTTGTATAGTTTGTGTTGCTATATCTTCAGGTTCATTGTTATTTTCTTCTGTAGTCTTTAATCTGTTGTTGAGCCTATCTAGTGAATTTTTCTTCTATTTCCTTATGTTCATATTTTCCTTTAAATTCTTGAGCATATTTATAGTAACTATTTTAAGTTAACTATGACCTTGTCTGCTAATTCTGTTACCGCTGACATTTCTGGGTCTATTTCTATTAACTGATACCCATTCTCCCCAATTATAGATACACTATATAAATGTGGGTACTGTTTCTTAACACATTTAGTAATTTTTTATTGTATGCTAGGCATCATGGGTGCTACATTGTCGAATGTCTGGATTTTGTTGTCTATAAAAGATATCAAACTTTGTTTTGGCAGGTAGTTACTTGCTGATCTGCTTGATACTTTTAAAAGCTTGCTTTTAAGGCCAGCCCGGTGGCGCACTGCTACAGTGCGCTACTTGGGAAGTGCGGCGGCGCTCCCACCAGGGGTTCGGATCCCACATACAGACTGGCCGCTCACTGGCTGAGCGAGGAGTGGGGGCAACACC